TAATTAAAAATATATATATATATATATATATATATATTATAAAAAGATTTTGACAATTTGAGAAATATTTTTGTTTTTTAATTAGCAAAAAATAAATAAAAAATATTGATGAATGAACATAAATATGCAATGAAAGTATTAGAATATAAGTCATTACCTATTTTTATTAACAAAAGAAAGTTAATTTTTGTATGATCATTTTTTTATAATATTTTTGCTTTCAGACACCTTATAGGAGTCACATGAATCTCATAATTACAGGTTGAGACATCAACTTCTTAATACAATTTTAGCAATTTTTTTTCTAAACTGACAATATTTCACTATGATTATAACAAATATTTCAGAACTTGTTTATTTTTATATGATTCTTCAGTTAAAAATTATATATAATGACAATAATTGCACTTCATGTATATATAGAACTTGGGAGATTCATCTGTAATTTATATATTAATTTTTTACTCATATTGTGCAAGAAACAAAATATAGTATTTATATAAAGTTATTAATAATGTAACATTGAATAAAAATTACATCAATATAATTTTTCCTTTATATATATATATATATATATATATATATATATATATATATATATATATATAGTATCACATGAAGTGTAGTCATTTATATAAATTTCATTCTAATACTAAATTGTTAATATAAATGTTTAATTTAATTGCATGACTCCTATATAATAGTAATACTTGAATTTTTGTTTGCAACAGTTGTTTATAGAAAGATTAAGTCCTATTCTTATTATTGGGGCAATAAATATTGTAGTTTATTGAGTTATTTTGATTTAAACATATTTTATTGTGTTTTGGATACACATTACATGGTGGAGGAATGGTAAAATTTCAAACAACACCAAAAAGGACACTGCTGAAACACAATTTGTAAAAGGTGTGGGGGCAGTAGAAAAAGGTAATAGGAGTATAATTAGGTACATTGAATCAATAGAACATAAGACTTAACAAGACAAGAACAAATGCAATAAAAAATAACCAAAAATATACTCCAATAACTGTACCTCTCTTTGTATATCTGCAATAAGTTTAGCTTTGTTGCCTTATATTCTGCTTTGAACATATTGGGAAGTTCATCAGATTCCTAAAATGCACTGAAAATTTTAACCAAAGTAATACACAGTAAATGGCCATAATTCAAGATATCAATTCTCACTTCAAAGCAAAATACATTTCTATGGCTAATCCGTTCACAAGCATATTCCTAAGGAAATGCATGAACATTTTCATTTTTCATGGTGCAGAACAACAATACCTTTGTGTTAACTGTAGTGGCTTTTCATTATTATGATTGTGATTGGATCAATGAACCAGGTTCTCATGAGATTATTGACATGCACAAAATAGAACTTCATATTAATCCGCAAAGTTAATTAACAGATAAAAAAAACTGGATCATGTTCATTACATAGGCATGCCTTAAATATTAAAGCCCTGGAACAATAAATCGTTGGCCATGTTAATCTCCTTCCAATCTAAGATCCAACATGCAACTCTTTATTTGTCTTGCCTTCTGCATCATACTTGTCTGGTGCATTAACACCATAAGGGTGATAGACAGTTGCAAGCATAGTCTCCAAGGCCAACTACTCATAAAGATCCTGAATTTAGAACACAATGCTAGGGTATTAATAGGTGAACAAAAATGATTCCCAGAAAAAGTATACTTAAATCACTGATCACAAAGTGTAGCTTTTCTCTTCATTTATATGAATCCTACAAAACTGAGTACGCTAATCAAATTTAAGGATTCACTCTACTACTGAGATATAACATGTTACAAGATTTGAAGCCAATTGAGATGAACAAGACGCTGTCAGATATTAGAGAGACAAGAATGATCTTCAAGGATTCGTGTTACACATTTCTTCTAAATGTTCTTTCTGCAAAACATACATTCTGCATGTCAAGCTTCTTTATGGATGGTTGGATAAAATTAAATATTAATTTAGATATTTTACAGATATGTTAGGTTAGATTAACACATATTTATGTTAATTTTGAATAATTCGATATTCTTGACAAATTATTAGGGATTATAGATATGAGAAATATCAACATATAAATATCTTGTTATATTATTTATACAATACAGAAAATAATAACATTTATCCCTTCCTCAATTTCTTTATTATAATGGATAAGCTTTTTTTTATAATTTATTTATAAAAACTACTCTCACCATTTCAAAATAATATATTTTATCATCATAAAATACTTATTAAAAAATATTCAATAAATACAAATTAAAAATAAAACTTTGAGGTTTTCAACAAATTTATGTCTTTTTTCATGTTAATTAATGTTCTTAATTATATTTGAATATGGTTAAAAAGTTAAAAGAATTATTATTTATAACAAATATAAAAAAATGTCATGATTTTAAATCGACAAAACTATTAATTAAATTACTTTTCAGTACTATTAAAGCTTGAAATGACACATTGCGATATCAAATAAGTGCCTTAGAAGACATTCTTTGAGTTATTATATATATATTAGCCATTTTTTTTATTATTGGGTATGTTGGTGGCAAATTGTGCTATAAAGTACCTTAAATGTGTGTGTGCCCAGTGAAGTTATTATAAGGCATAACATAACAACCTAACCTTAGAAATTGGTGATGATGGATCTCAGAATTGCCATTTTGGATTGAAACAGAATGTGGATATGCATTTCAACCACACACACCAAAAACAAAATGGGTCACATCTACAGTTTTGCTTGACCACCACACCACATGCCATTATTCATTCTTGACCTTTATCTTGTTGCATCAGACCATCCAGTCCCCACATCTCACCCTTCTAATGGACTTTCACTACTTCCTAAAGGCAAGTGTCTTCCATATTTTCTTCTTTTTTATGAAATATCAAGACCAAGCTTCTTCATCATCCACACACAATAGAACATGGATCTTCTTACAATGTGAATACAGGGTTTTTCACCAAAGAAAAAAATAAAAGGGTATTTGACCATGCAAATTTAGCAACTTAAAAAACTAATCTTTTTTAAAGATGGGGAGAATCACTTTCAAAAAAACAAAACACAAAACTAGGTATATTCTCTTTGCAATACGTTAATAATGTTTTAACAAGACAAATGGCATAATTGAATTGTAAAATATTATTTGAAACACGATGTTAAATGGGGTGCTTTTTCGTCACCTAATGTGGATCATATTTTGTCAGTTTTTACGGTGTTTTCTCTCAAATAAAAAGAACGTTTGGGCGCACGTCCCTATTGACTTGTTCCCTGGACCAATTCTAATTCTCTTTTTGAGTTTGGGCTTCTGCCCCTACAATGTTCCAAAAATACCTCAATACTGCCAGAACAATAACACCACCATAAAAAACTTCCCTGATACAAATTCAACATGCGATAAGGTGCATTGAAAGAATATTATTAGAGCTTGCATGAGTTACGGTGGTTTTACAATGATTATTATTATTATGGATTTACAAATTCTAGCGACTAATAATGGTGACTGACCCAAGAAAAATGATAAAGAATGGAAGGAAAAATACAAATACTGGTGGGCAATCTATATCATTCAACTATAGGGAAGGAATCATACGCAAGAGTTTCATGTAAAATTGACACGACTTTGTTGGGGTTTATCTCAGCATCAACGACATCTTATGTCAGATATATATTTATATAACTTTTAGTCTGACACACACCCACAACACACACTTTCTTTCCCTCATTGTTTTCTTTCCCTTGCTTTTCTCAAAGTCCTACCTTTCATTCTCTTCCATAAGCAAACACATGCACCACATGATCCTTGTCATCGCATAACTCATTGGTGAAAAGAACTTGGCACGTGAACGTTTAACAATTCAATATGATGAAAATATCAAATGGGACACGAGTCACACGATACTACACTGTGCAGGACCACGGAAAATAATGCATATTATTATTATTTTATGTGACCTTTGCATAATGGTACTTGTACTTGTTTAGTTTAACGTTGCATAACGAAACTTGTATTTTCATTATATTATGTTTGGCCTCCTTTTTCAGCTTTCGTTTACTTTTTAAACCGTGTAGGTTCGTTTCTTCTGCATGAGATACCTCAAACTCGAACTTGTTATGGAAAGGAGGAAATAATAACAAAGGAACTGACTACAATTTAAGGGAACTACCCACTTTTCTTCCTTTTCACCCGCAACAAGTACCCTAGAGTAGAATCCATTTACAGTAGTACTGTGGTTGATCAAATAAAACCAAGGATCTACTGTGCAAAAATCTGTTGGCCCTTTTATTTCCATTCATTTTCTAACTTCTGGAAAAGCCAGCTAAAGATATGCAACACAAACCACTCCCTCATGAAGCAGAAATTAAATATAATGCCCATGTGTGTTAAAAATAAGAAACTCACCCTCCTAGAAAAGGAAAGTATCCACTATACCAGCTAATGCATTTTAGCAAGAAACATGCATTTCTATAGTAGGAAATTAAAGATATTGTTGAATTAGGAATGAAGTATGCTGAAATTAAAAAATAAGGTATCCTGCATGAGAAAAATTAGAAATCTGAAATTGCACAAGGACATATAATATAGTAAAAAAGGGAGAGGACATATTTATCCCTTGAAATGAGACAATGACAAAATCAGTAAACAATTAACTAATATTTTGTAGCACAAAACTAGGTAGTATACAAGAAAAGAGCAAAGAAAAAGAAATGAGAGAAATCCTCCTATTAGGCTATGACCAAGGTAAAATGATAGATTGAATAATTGACATCGCAGGAATAATACTTCTTATGATTAACTGTGTATAAAAGATAGACAAACATAAAATGACTGCCCTAGAGGGTTAATAGAAGCTATTATTCTACTTTCCTAGTTCCCACTGCTTTACTTTAAGATTCTCTATAGTATAACAAAATTTCTGAAGATGATGTAGATATTAGGCTATGTATCATGCTTACGGACTATGCTAATTGCAATTCTCCACATCACAATGTCTGTATGGGGTTGGATTCTTTGGAAAATAATGCAATCAACTTTTCCTTTGTCAGCTGATCAGGTCCTTGAGATTTAACTACAAATGTATGGAAAACAGTATCATTTGCAGCAGTAAGTTTTGAATCGACAACACCAATTTCTTCCTCTCTGAAGGTTTGAATGACTTTTGAAACCGGGTGAACATCAATAGGACAGCTAACCTTTACAATCACCCCATCTTGTGCAGCTTCAACATCCACATCAGGAGATCCATTATGATGATTTACTGCTCTTGCATTGGCCTCCAATACTGATCCATCTATAGAGGTGCTGCCAAATCTCTCTCTCTCAGACTCCATGGTCTTGAGTTTCGCTTGAAGTTCATTGATGTAAGCAATAGCATCTCCCAACAGTGATGCCTTGTCCATCTTGGAGATATTTGGAACAACAGAGCGCAGTGCGTAGAACCGCTGGTTCAGCTTCTCACGCCTTTGCCTCTCTGCCTCCACATGATTGAGGGGTTCCTCCCTTCCATTGGCCGGCTTCCTTCCCCGCTTCCTCGGCCTCCTGTCATCAACAACACTCACTCTCTCCTCCTTGCACGAGGCCTCAACATCAGAAATCTCAGACTCAGCAATGATTGATCTCCTTGAAGTGGCTCCTGAGAAATCAATTTGCATCTGTGCGGGCCGTTGTTGCGGGTAATTGCTATGCACAAAATCATGCCTTGAGCCATTGGCTAGCTCCGGCACAGGCATCGTGCTGGAGCTGGCCAACCTAGGAGCAAGAATTTCAGAAGGACCGAGCTGCCTCACGCCCCCCCAACTAGAACCATGAACACCATTCGGAAAGCCGATACTATTCCCATTGGAATGACCCCCCCACGGCCTCGCCCTCTCATCCATTTTCCTCACAGCAAGCTTCTCCCTGAATTGAGTGACACTGTTCAAATCCTGCCCAAAAATCTTTGGAACTCCAATTCCCTCAGCTCTATTATTCCCATTGTTGTTATTCTTATCCTTATCGCCAATTGTCGCACCAGAAAAAAGGGCATTTGCAGTGTCGTCTCTACTATCACTCACCAAATCCAATGGTGCAATTGGTTTAACCCTGAGAGGGACCAATGATGTCTGAGCAGAAAACACAGATTTCACAGCCTGCAAAAGCTCAAAACTCTCACCCACCATCCTCGCAGACCCCATCTCCACCACCCCCATGTCAGTAGGCACCAAAACAACAGTCTGAATTCCAGCAGATTTGACCAAGAAAGACCTCACACAGTAATCAAAATCAGATTTGAACACATCCGAGAGCCACAAATGTTTCCCGGAAGCAAAACACTTACCTGGACCCCCGAGTCCACGGGGAAAAGAGAAGTACATGGAAGCAAGAAAGAACATCTCCGTGTCAGTAACACGGTCCAACCCAAAAGCATAATTGTCCTCATCCGAACCCCCAAAAGTCATGTGCAGCTTCTGCAACACCCTCTTCCTCATCCTCTGCACCTTCTCATCATCAGCAACAATCCCTCTCCCTCTCACCTTTCCACCCTCTTCTCCCTCCCTCGGTTCCCTACAACACCCATCTCCCCATCCCAAAACCCAATCCCCAAACTTGGACTGAGAAATTTGCCAGAAGATCGCGTAGTTCCAACTGAAGTTCGACGCGTTGGGACGCTCCACGAGATCCGAAAGCTTATTCTGCAGATTCTCGCCGCTCCCAAACGCCATCAACAGATTCTCATTCGAAACCGAATTCGCCACCAAGTAATCAAACGCGCCGCGACCCAGAACCTCCACCACTGCCGCTTTCTCTTCCTCATTCCACACCCCTCCCAACCCCACCTCAATCTTCATCCCCAAACCCCAGCAAAATCTCAACTTTTGCAAACCCAAATCCAGAAACCTTATATCTCGCAGAACTTCAACTTCGGGTTCCGGAAAATCAACGAAACCCAAAAAGTGCCCAAAAGGGGAAACAACTCAACGAGAAACAACATTATGAGTAAACCCGGTGTTCAAGTAATCAAAAGGGTGTCTGTGTCTCCGAGGAAAAACATGTTCATAAATTCACCAAATAATAAAAAAGGAAATAAAAGGGTTTTCAGGTTTCTCAGTGAAGGTATTCTTAGACCAAAACAGAGAACAAGAAAAAATAAAAAAGTTTCAGAGTTTGAGCAAAAGAGAGAAGTGTGTGAATGAATAATGAACAAATAACAACGCTGGCTTACGTTCTCTAACTCCGGACTCACTTCTCTCTTTCTTTCTTCCTAAGTTGTAACTGCAAAGTGCGAAAACAAACCAACCATGGTTAAATTTGAACTATGGTTAAAGTTGAACTAGGGTTAAAGTTTAACTAGGGTTACTCGGTTGGAAGTTGAGAGGTAGTGGTTTTGGTTGTTTGCTCCTATCTATCTACTAGTCTTGTACTGAAGTCTGCAAAACATTAAAATAAATATCAAATAAAGTATTAATCATAAATGTCTGATATAAATAAAATAAAATATATATAATAAAATTAGCATTCCCGGTGATAAATGAGAGAAACCGATGAAGGACACAAAACAGTGGTATTTATATAACTTAGTGTGTAAGTAGATAAGGACAAGTTAACCTTGGAGTTTAAGGGTTCATTATATGAAATTCGTGATCCTCGTGCTCAACAGTGACACGCAATAACTCACATGTGACTCACAGTTATGAATCTGAATGGCTGAATTTCGTGTTTTTGTGTGTGTGCATGTTAAAGATGGCATTGGTTGGTTTGGTGGTGTCTTTTCTCACTCACTCTTTTCCCAAAATCATTGCACAAGTTTATTTTCGTTTTGCTAAATCAATGCATCAAAACAAGCAACAAATATATCTCCATACCTGTAACTGGTTTTTTAAATACTGTCAAATATCTTCTGCATTATTTTGTCTTTTATTTACTTTCTCCAGAGTTAAGTTATAAATTCTCATGAGATTCAGGGAAAATGACTTGACGGCTCTCACACTCACTGGATTCGCCTTTGTAAAATGTTGCCACATTCAGACCAAAGTTTATTTTAAATTAAATCTTCTCTTCACGTTCTTCTTCTAGATCTCTTATTAATTCAACACAATGCAACCAAAAAACATTTTTAGGGAAATAAATTAATAAACGTTAAGAGGATCAATAAATTGTAATAAAATATAGTACAATGGATCCGGTATCATTAATAACTAGCTGATAAATCTATCATTACTAATTCATTAGATTGTGTTTTCTTGAGAAATTTCAGTTTTTATAATGCTAGGTTAAATTCATTATATATGCAACTATTATTATGTTTGCAATTCGATATTCTTTACTTAACATCTTGTTTTTCAGTAATTTATTTTTACGAAATATTATTTGCTAGTTTTAACACTTCTTAGAAAATATATTAATAAAAAAATAACTCAGTTACTGTATGAAAACATGAACTACTAATCATTCGATTCAATTAAAAATTAGGAAAGTTATTAAGATGTTATATTGAATGATAATTAAGTATGCATATTTTATGAGTCATTTTTTAATTTTTTTTTCCTACGTTTTCAATTAATAAACTGAAAATTCTTAAAAATTATATATATTAAATGAAAAGTAATATCGTAAAAGTAGAAGAAGAATAATAACCACTATTTTTTTAACCGGTTTTTATATACATAATTCCTTAACTTTAATATTTTATATTTTTTTATTAGTTTATGTAACCGTATTTTTTGTAAATTATTTTCAATATATTAAAGATTATTTAATAAATGAATTTTTAATTATATTAATTAATTTTGATCATCGTAAGATGGACAGAAAGTGGATGACGTTTTTAAAAATTGACCAAAAATGATAGATTTAAAAATACAATTATTAAAACGACATAATTTTTTAATGTTTGATGAAAATTGTGATCTTAAATATGATTTTTTTCTTTAAAAAATACTTTTGTTAATTTTAAGACAGTGAATTTTCCTTAAAATAAAAAAATTAAAGCATTTTATAAACAAATAAATTTATAAAAAAGGTAAAAATATATATAAATTTTTATTTTAAATAATAATATAAAAGTTAACAAAAAAAAAAAAACTACCCGAGTCACATGAAAAAACTCGTACTTAAAATTAACGTTATACCTTCTAACGGTTACTACAAATAAATCTAAATTTTGGATTAAAAGTATTAAATTAAAACTTTTTTTATAAACTTATTGAAACGTATTATTTGCAGTTAATTAATTTTGAGTGGAAGGGATGATTATCTTTTAACGTAAGATTCTGTTTATTTCACATGCTTTGTTACCATCGTACCGTGCAACAATAAGGGTTATCTAATGATGAAGAAAGTTAAAGGGTTAGAAAACGCTATTAATCATTAATTTGTGGAATCATGACGTTGAAAGTTATCCTGAAAAGGATTCCTAGGAACCAAACACATTTTGGTTTGTTTGAGGTTACAACTTTGATTACTTTGCTAAAGATAAAGCACTTCTTACACCCTCCTCAAGCTTTATGCTGGACCTTGTTTGGAGTACAACATAACACAATTCAAAAAATATATGTACATATTTAGTTTTTTTATTTTATTTTTAACCTGTGTATTAAATTAGTATTATATATTTGAGTAATACTAATATTAAATTTTATGATTAAAATAAAATTTCATACAAATTCAGATACATAATATATATATATATATATATATATATATATATATATATATTAATTGTTACTTGATATACAAAATATTTATTGAATATTTATTTTAAAAGTGAAGCAATATGAAAAGACAGAAAGGTATTGGCGTTGTTACTGGAGCGGTCATGGTCACGCGTTTTTGGTGGCTTCCATGGATATGACAAGCTCAGAATACAAACACGTTTTTGCACATCACACGCCTTCCACGTTTAAGTTCCACGTGTCAAATTGTGATGCTCCTGGGCCCACTGGAACCAAAGGACACCCATGCACGTGATCGTCACGTGAAGGGGGTTGAAGTTGGAGGAACACGTGAAGACCAACCGCATCTAATCTCATATTCACTTGGCGTTTTGTTGACCATTTCTTCTAAACACACACACACTTTAAACTTTTTTTAACCAATGATTCAATTTTTCTTAACAATAATATTAATACGAATTTAGACTAAAAAAACCAAATGATTAAACATTTATAATAATAAAACAAACTAATCCTACGCTAATAAAAAAATTTAAAATATATACATTATATCATCTACCATTTGCTTTTGCAGCCGAATATTTGAGTTATTAAGAAAAGCGAAAAAAATAAAAAGAAGTGTAGTATAAGAAATAATAAATGATTTTTTTTTATTTCATCCTCTTTCATCAACAATGAAAAACGTAAAAATAGAATAAATTCTAAACATAATTGATTATATAAAAAAATTGATTAAAATAATAAATAATGTTAATAAAAATAAATTATTTTATTTTTATTTATTTTTATTCTCTTGTTTAATTTAAAAAAAATATTTATATTTTTTATTCTCTCAAATTTATTTTCTAATTTAACTATAAATATTTTAAAAAAATATAATCATTTGTTTATTTATAATATTTCGAGAGAAACGTCTCAATGGGATTAATTTAGTTCACATTATTAAAAAGAAATTAAAAAGAAAATATTTATGTTTATTAAATTAATATTCGTATTCTAAATTTAAGTTAGCCATATATATTTTTAATAAATTATTAAAATCACAAGTAAAATTTATTAAAAATATATAATTATTTTTTAATTTAGTATGCGAGTTTTGAAATCGAAACCAATATATTCTCCTCTCTCAAATTTTTAAGATGGATTTAAAAAATCATAATAAATTAAAATTCAATACAAATAATATTTTTTTTAACATCTTATTTTGAAATAAAATATTTTATATCATATACTAGTATACTATCATTTTTCATTAAAATTTTAAAATATTATATTTATAAATTATTTTTCCTACTTACTTTTTCTCACATTGTTAAATTGAATTTATTCTTACCTAGAAAACTTAAAATTCAATGTATAAATAATCTAAATAGATTATCACATCAACGAAAGAAAACATTAATTCCTCTAACAAGCACAGAGACCATTTTTTTCTTCTGTGCCTGGGAATAAAAAGTTGTTCAGTAATTAAATTTCTGAGCTGAAACTGTGTTTATTTTTTTACCTTATAACCCTAATTTAGGTATTGTGGGTGTTGAACAGTGTCATGTCCTTTTTTGGCAAAAGTTGAACACTAACTCTCTTATTCGTCCACACACCAAATTGTGTCGGCCATTCATTGTTCACAGGTGAAAAAAAATCAATTATTTATTTTATCTTCACTTGAGAAATACCAAACGTCCATTTATTTTCTTGTATCAGTAACTTTTTTTTAGCAACTCTTGAAAAAAAAAAACATGGATAGAATAGAACACTTCAACATTAATCTTTCTTTCTTCTAGAATTATTTTATTCTGCTATAAAAAAAATGACATGTTTTTAATTCAGCTTGTGATTCACGAGGTGTTAGTGTGGTGGAAGTAAATGCATGTTTTTTCTGCATATCTGTGGTTGAAAAATGGAGACTAATCATGGTGACCCATCGTACAATGACGAACCAAGAACCCTTCTTCTCTATGATCATGCTCACCAATATTAATCAATTCCATATGCTCCTCTGTCAAAATACTTTTGTTTTCAAATTTGGTCAGAGTTCATTGGTGCCACTGAAGTTGTTATAAAAAAAAAATACATTTTTTAATTATTCATTACAAAACTTCAGTTGTATATTTTTAATTTATAACTGCTTCTAATAATATATTTATTGTAGATTAATTATGTTAGAGAATATTTAATATACATACCAAGAAATTATGAATCATAATGATGGTTTATAAAAATAACTGAAAATTGTTTGATTGATGGAAAATATTTCCTATAATATATATATATATATATATATATATATATATATACTAAATTATTAAATTTTATAAAAATGTTAGATTAAATGAGAGTATTAATTAGCTTCTTAAATTATAAGTACTTTATATTTTTTCAAGGACGGAACCAAGATTAAAACATTGGAGGATAATTTTATTAAAAAAAAAAAAAAACATACATGTAATATGTACCGTAGGTGTCCCTATTCTTCCATCATATTTAAAATATGCAATATATTTAATAAAACATAAATTGTTAAAATTTAAGTCCATATTTGTTGAAAAGCTTAATTCTGTAGATGGTAGTAAAGAACTATTTAATAGATTTTAAATTGATAATATTAATGCACTTATAACAAAAAACTGAATTAAGATTATTTATTTTTTCACCTAATTTGTCCCATTATTACTGTATGTAGGAGTATATCCACAAAGAACAAGTAATAAGATACAGAAATTTCTGAAAATATAATGAATTTATGTGTCCATTTAATAAACTTTTTCCAAAATATTTAATTAGTAATATGACATATAAATGTAAAGAGTTAGGGAAATAAAGGACATGGTTGGCATTCATGAAACTAGCTTTAGATAATTTGATTTGTAGGGATGCTACAGAACATGAAACATTAAAAGATATTTTCTTTTTAATGTGAAAGTGGCAATAATTTGTGTGTGAAACTTTTACAATTGTTGTATGAACAAGTCAACATCAACGCGGTTTCATAGTTTTTGGTTTAAATTTCAACCTCAGACTGTGTTGTTGGATGAATATGATTCCGTCGCTGTCATGCCATGAGAAAACACATAATGATAACGAGATGTTAATTAATTATTTAATTATATTATCTCAAACATTCTCCAATGTGTTGTTCACACCTCACGGGTTAAAATGTAATAATCTTTTAATGTTATCTTCTTCTAAAATCGTGTTCAGTATTCTAAGCAACGTCTATTTCAGCTTGGGGCCTATTTATTAGCGTATTTGATGCAGAGAACAAAAATTATTCAGAACGTGATAGCGATGAACTTTCACCAACTTTTCTTCCTGTCTTTTGAATTAAAAAAAAAACTCATTCTGCATTTTAATTCATTTTTATAAGAGCCAACTTCGAAAAGAATATTTTTCTGTCGCTGAAATTCATGAAAGTTTCAAGATTTTAAAAATAAAGAAACGCCCTGCACTAGAAAAATGCATGAAATGCATAAACAGGCCCAATTACCACATTATGGGTTGAACAAGATCAAGAGGCCCAGTTTTCAATTTTAAAAAGGATTTATCTTTCTCGAATGGTAAAATTATATTCTGGATTTCATTAATTCGGGACTTCAAATTATATATTTTTCAGATCCATTCATCCATTTTTTTTTTTAGATTTTTCAATCCGGAACTCCATTATATGTTTCGCATCACTCTTTCTATAAAACTAAGGGTATTATAGTCTTTTCAAGTAAATATGGGTGCAGGAAGAATATTTTTTTAAAATATATATAAACTACTTTCTACAACAAGAAAACATGGGGTGAAAGAAAGAAAGTGCCCTGCAAAGATGGAAGAATATTTCCAAACCCATGTTCAGTTTTGTGAAAAATGGGCTTTTTGCTTGGGCCTGTGGACCCTCCGTGGCAAAAATTACTAAAAATAGTTGGCTTTTGCTTCTTGCACTCCCATAATTTCTCCCAACATATCTGTACCACAAGTCAAATATCTAAAATACTCTTTCTATAATTTTGTTTTTTATCCTACATTCTTCTTCTTTAATTTGTGTATAATTTTTGTACCTCCATCCTTCAGCTATTTGATTTTCTTGTACTATTATCTTCATTGAAGGTCTTTTCTAATAATTAAAGATAAGTAATTATTAATATTATATATGAATTACATGTTCTGCATTTAAATTATACAAATAGACTCAAATTCAAATTGCTCAATCTGAATTAATGTGTGAGAATGGGGTTGAATTTCGAAAAACAAATCTGAAAATACAGTTCGAATGTAGTGTTCTGAAAATACCAATCCAAAATTTGGATTGGTAGTCCCGAAATGTATTTTCAGATTTGTTTTTTCCAAAAATATATTTCTGAAAACGTATTCTAAATTAGGTATTCTGAAATATATTTCAAAGAAAAATCTTTTTAAAAATATATTTTAGATTAGATATTTTAGAATGTGTGTCGAAAAGGTTAATCCAGACTGTATTCTAAAAATAAAAACGATGATAAATATAAAGATAAAATAAAATTTAATATAATTATAAAGTGCAGAAAGAAATTATGTGATAAGGAAGCAACATCCGAAATAGTTTTTATTTTTTGGGCCTTGCTGCCCTCGACGTTATTTCCTAAGACACAGTCCATTCATCGTAAGATCATCTCCATCAATTTTTTATTCAACAAAATTATTTTGAAAATATCGTTTTTCAAAAAATGAAAAATACAATATAACCCTCATTTTCAAATTTTCATATTGTCACTTTCACTACTGAGAAGGTGTGTGGTGATGTTGTTGAGTGAAAGGATTTGAATCACAGAATGTGCGTAGCCTAAGATTTGTAGCATCGTAGACAGGTTCCGCATTCAATTCGGGTACAAAGGTTGTTGTGTTGTACCAAACCTCGAAAAACCGGTTCTGCTGCCAATAATTCTTGAACCGCTTAGGTGCCAATGGTCCATGTTTTTTCTGCTTCCACTTCTTTCCTTGAAATTTCACTTGTACAAAGTCAACGAATGCATAATTATAAATATACGTATATTTTTGTAATTTTTTCAAATAATATTGTTTACACATTTTAATATAAAATTTGTAAATTAATTTAGTTTAAGTATTCGTTACACTTTTCTAATGAGACTACGAGTATCTTCTTTAGGAGGGTATATTATTTGAGACTCGTAAAACGAGTAGAATCGAAATATTATTGATTAAATTTTTTAAATAATTAAAGCTTACTAAAATGGGAAAGAAATCCATTTCACTCTAATATCTATAGTTATTTTTTATTTAAATATATATTTTAGTCTTATAAAAAAATGGATTTTAATTTTGGTTAACTGTGATTTTTTTCTCTCTAAAATTTTAAATTACTAATCTGATTTTTAATACATTATAAAATTAATTAATTAT